AAATTCTCTGATTTTGCAAATGAACTCATTTTAATTGGATAGAAAATAGAAAATTGGATAGAAATATTAATATAGACAATTTACACCTCCAAGCAAACAATAAAGATACTTTCAAATGGTCTACTATTTCCATAACACAACTGTCAAACCGATATTAGTTTAAGAAGTTATCGATGTGGGATATAATAATTGTCACATAGAGAGTAAAATTTCAAAACTAGTTAGCACTCAAAGGATAGTTTGTCGACTAAATACAATATACTTGAGATCTTGAAAAATCTAAATTTCTCATGTTATCATCTTCTTATGAACGCATAATGGAAAGTTCATTTTGCTACCAAAGCAGTAATTTGAAGAAATTCTCTGCCAAAATGAAAATCATTTTCAGGATATTAACATTTTTGAAAAGTTTACGATCTCCAATATTACATATTCGACTATAGCACAAGTAATCCAAATCTGTCTTTTATAAAGCTATAACGAAATAAGATGTCAATATAATGGGTACTGAGAAGATTTCAAATTATATAACAGAATTAAGTTTAAAATTTATTCAGAATCGAACGGAAGTGATGGCCTTCTATATAGAAAGACACATCTCAGAAACTTACATAAGATCTTCTGAGTCGAAACTGACTGGTTTTTGAAACATCTAGAACTAGAAAACGTGCTGAGACTTTGATTGCAACTGACTAGTTTTATTACTGTTCAGATATTGTTCAGTGTTATTTCGATGATTAAATTAATTGAATTAACTCTACTGGTTCAGAATATACTGAATTTCGATCGGCTTCGTATAAATTCTATAACACTGTACGACGTTACCAAACAAGAAAAGTGAGTCAGAAATCTTTTAATTATAGTATATTGGTAATTAAGAGGAAGCTGTGGTCTAGACAGTCTAAATGAGACTGACTAATTATATTGATATACTAACAGCTTCAACTTTTATGTGGATTTTTTCAATTAATTTCTAATCTTAGAAAATATTTAACGACACATTAGTTGAAAATTCCTAGGCTATTTGTCATTCACTCGCCAACTTATTGTTTAGATGCTTATTACTTTTTTTAGATGCTTTTAATACAGGAAATGCTTTATATCTTCCGTTTTTTAATGAATTTCTTCTATTGTGTATCTATTCTATTGTGTATGAGATTAAAATGAGATACACTAGATTAAAATAAAACTGTGTAAAGTCCTTTTAAAACAGTTCTACTCTCTTTATTTAAACGCAAATACATCAATTTTTTGAGAACGAGCTTTGATTATTTGTCGGAATAAATTCGTTAATATATTTGTCACTTAAATGATTAATTGTTACTGAATTTAGATGAGTTTAGCTTACAAACATTTTTATTTTAAATATTTCATATGATGATTTCGATATATGATATATGAAATCATTAAATCATATATGTATATGATTTCGATATATTTGCCAAATTGAGTCCAAATTCATTCAAAGCTCGTCTACAAAAATGGATGGTTGGGATTCATTCTCTAATTCTCTAATTTCTTATAGTTTTCTACAAATATTCGAGTACAGGAACGAAGGTACATACACTTGGAGTCTATAAATTTAATAAGGACAATAACATCTATAAATGTTTAAAAAATCGCTTATGATAGATATTTGGTCATATCTCACACAATCAGTCCAAGAATTTACTTAATTCTTATACATAAAAGTTTTTTTACAAATTATTCCTTTGTCTATTTGAAGTAGAATTTCTTTTATATATTCTGAGTTTATAATTATAAACTCTTTTATTCGATTTTTTTTAGATATAAACTCAAATTTTGCAAAATTGAAACTTTTAATTTAATTGAAAAATGTTTCTACTTCATACCGAAGCTTTACCTACATTATTTGCATAAAGCCTTGCAATATCTATGTATTTATTTCTGTCTTCATATATGTTTGCAATTTGAAACATATATTCAATTCATGTAATCATTGTAGGTAACACCTATTGTTGTCTGAACATATATAAGATGTATATATAGCTTATGCTTTAATATATGCTATCAAAATCACTCAAAAAAAAAATAAGGAATTAAATTGCATTTCCTCTTTACTTGATAAAACGCCAGTTAGTGTCTAAAGCACTTTTACTCAATAGTGTCTGTGAACCCGTAGATGATCCACTGTAGTAAAAGCTCCATTAAATTTTAATAATAAGTTTTTCAGACGATTTTATAGAAGCATACTTTGAAGCCCAGCATATCTTCCTAATGGAATATATATTGCATTTAAGAGTATTGAACTCTGAATTAGTGTACGCATCCACGGAATCGAACAATTTCTGCACTATGTCTCTGATATACTTTTTGCAGACTCTCGACTCTTAACTCTTTCTGTATATCTTTATTTCGGATATACTATGGAGCTGTTAGCATACGTCTTAGTACAATAGTCTAATAAGTTTAAAGTTTTCTAATGTTGGATGACGCAGCATTGCCATATGTAATACTGTCATAAGGTAGCTAAGGTTTAATTATTTGATTTTCAGTCAGAATTTCATTTTTCGCAGTTAAGTTTTCTTGTGTTAATGGTTTTAGAGAATGCACAGTTGTATTACAAGCCAGCTTCTTGACCCTTATATTCTCTAACCAAGTACTAAATTAATTAACCAAAATCCTCAGCATTATTTATTAAAGTTAAGTATTACGTAAATCAAACATTGAATATATACTCTCTAATTCACCTCTTTACACAAATAGTTAACTTGCTATTAACTTGGAAAGTTTCGATTTTCAATAATTTCTTTACAACAAATAGTTTACTATTTTGCTTCGTTCCATGAAATTAATTTTGTTCTTAAGTTTTGTAAGTACAGAATACAACATCGTTGTTATTGCAAATTTGTTTTCTTTTATACACAATGTAATGTGTGTGTGTGTGTTGTTAATGTGAATTTCGAATTGATAACCGTAGCACCCTAAATTTTCTTAATTGCGTGTCTGAGTTTGGTATCCAAGTCTAGCAGAAATTAACAAAAATCTAGTTGGACAGGTTTTGGTGACTATATTACAAAAATACACTGCGATAAATATATGAACATTTAATAAATAATGCGAAGTCAACAAGACTTTTAAGTAAAACTAATTAACTATCTTTGTTTAATATGCTATAACAACTTAAAACAAGTCCTAAAAATGTGTTAAAATAGGTTAGGTTAGGTGAAGTGGAGAAAGGAATGGGTTCTCCTTAATAAACTAAAACGCCGTTTTGATTCCACAATTCCTCGACAATGATCATCCTGGAGCCAACCGTAAGTATCTATAAATTCAAGAATCTGGCCAACGTTTATGCTGAATATATTGCCGAGTATATTGAAGAATAGGAAACCAATAGCTTAAGTCTGGTTCTGGACAAAGATCCAACAGGTGTACTAATGTCTTTTCTACGAGTGTCGGTAGAGATACAGAGTAAGCCAAGCTTGTCCGCATGCTGTTCTAAAGTTGAGTGCCCTGTTAGAAAGATATGAACCTAGATACTTCTGATTTGTTTTTGTGTACGAAGTGAGAGGTTTAAAATTTTGAGTGAAATCGCCAAGTATCTCTTGACCTGCCTGCTGAAAAAGTATGAATTCACTCCCTATTTGCTTGTCGCAGAAAATGTTTGCAACTCAACCTACGGTTGTGACTAGCAGTGACAGGGATTGGAACAGAAGTTTCCGTATGAGACCAAACTAAAGTTACGTTGGATCTGCCACTGAGTAGGTTAATACATCGCATACATAATCTTAATGTGTTCAAATAGTTTCCTTAAAATTTTCTGAACAATTAAATAATGTAACTGTATGGAGAGTTTTGCTGTTTATATAGGTATACAAATTTCTTGCGGTGTGCTTATACATAAACTAAATCATGATAATGGAAAGATGCAATTTCAGATCTATGAGGTACCGACAGTATGGCAGTTAGTTTTTTATTTATAACTGCGAGATCAATCCCATACCTACCAGTAATATTTGAGATTGTCTTCAGGAAAGAAAGAGTCGACTCTTTGATGTAAAAATTTTATAGTATCTTGTCGCTCTCGATTCAGTGTTATTTATTTATGTAAGTTCGTCGATCTAATGTAACACAGCGCCTTCATGATCCTTTTGAAATCTCGGGATAGGCTTTAAGAAATGTGTTTAAGAGTAGTTTTAGGAGTTTTGCTATGAGCAACATACAGGAAGTTATAAAACAAATCACATTAGAGGATACAAACGTAAAATAAGAATATTAACAGAAACCTTGATATTGTTAGCATTAATGAGGAAATGTGCTGCTCAACTTGAAAATTTCTTTCAAAAATCACTATATAAACATTTCAACATAAAAAACTGTATGAAAATGATAAATTTATCCATTAAATTATTTTTTTTTTGGTTTTTTTTTTGTGTACTTTAAAAGTTGTTTCAAATTACAAATAACTAAGCTCTTGTGTGGGAATAAAACAGCGTATATTCACAGCTTAAACAGAAGAGGTAGCACTGCCCTCACTAAAACCATGGAATATATTCACATGGTTTTACCTATGGTGTTTGTGGTACCAGTTGTAAAGCGTATTAAAAATAAAGTGTTCGAAATCTAGCTTAAGTGTATGCTTTTAAATTATATTTGATATGAAAGCACAAGTACTTTAATGCAAACATAATCGATTAAATTTCCATTATTTCCTAAAGCAAACCGTAAACAAATAGAATTTAAATACCTGAAAGTGCTAAGTTTAAATTTGGACGAATTAAATTGTCCACATTAAACACATCTTTCAGAGTTCTGAAGAAATTTTTACAACGATTAGCTAATATTTTTTTTTTATTGCTATGAACGAATTTTATTTATTTCATTTCTTACGTTCTATAAAAAGTTGAAAACGTCATCTCTTCCCTCACACATCATATGATTAAAAGTTAAAGTAATTTATGTCATCACACTTTATTTTCAAGTATTGGTTCGTTTCGCAATTTTTTCTTTAATTTGTTCTACTGTTTTACTTCGAGGTTCTACGACTGCTAATAGTGCACCACAACCAGTAAACGACACCAGCGCAAGCAGTTCATTACCAGTCGCTGCTCAGCAGCCACCACAAGGCATTAGTAAAGCACACAACGGAAGTAGTGGTGCTGCGAACAACGGTATCAATAACTCTAACGGCAACCCGGTTCTATTCTTAATGTCCAGCAATGGCAACACTGGTGCTATAGGGCATGCACACAGTGGCAGACAAAACAGCAGCAGCGCTGGTCACTTTGCACTCAGTAAAACTGTGAATGGTTAGTTTACAGATATTGACACAGTTTTTTTTTTTACTATTTTACTTTCATTTCACACTTAATTACATCCAAATTTTTTTTCTAAAAATTCTTTTCCAGCCACTGGTAGTGGAGCTCCTATAGGGCTCTCCTATGTAGAAGTACGTAAACCAAAATTGCGACGTTACAACTCACACGACACGAGCTCAAATATGTTCTCAGTGGCGGATTTTGAAAATGCACGTCTTGCACGACGTAATGAAATCGAATTACAACAACGACTGCAGCGACGAGCGCGAGCAGCAGATAAATATGGTGATTGTGCTTTAGGTGATAGCAAGTCATCAAAATACGGCAATGTTGTAAGTATTTATCTTGATAAAATACACTTATCATGAAACTTTTCAATTTATACATCATTGCACTTTCTTCAAGTCACAGAACGAGCCATTGCCTGCAGATATTTTTTTGGAGCGCTTCTCTTTGCCACGTGTTGCGATACTAACGTACAAAACCAAATTTTCTGATGAAACTTTGCAATCATCTTCGTCAAACGGTTCATCAACCGTAACTTCGAGCTCCTCAGCTGGTGGAAATGTTGGTAAAAACAGTGGTACTACTGGTACTTCATCTTCAAATAATACCACCGGCAGCAGTGGTAGTGCAAAACGTGGCAAGGCTGCTCTTAAACAATGCAGTAGTGAACAAGAGAATGAGGAATTATTCGTGTTATACCGATTGGTGCGTGATCGTCAAATTTTTCATGGTCACAACTCTAAGACAAGTGCTGCTAATCTAAAAAAAGGTGTACTAATACCACAAGAATTTCCCGGTGAGTACTATTTTTTGATGTATCTGCTTACTTTATATGAAAATTAACATAATTTGGGAATCCAACAATTAACTTCCTACGTTATTGAATCAAATAAAATTAATAATATAAATAATTAATAATAAATAATAATATAAATAATAATAAATAAAACTTAATTCTTCGAAGTATTGGGAACATACTGCATACGTATATAAAGAAAGAAATTCAATAATTTTTATTATATCATAGTACTATAGTGTTTATTATATTATATTACTATACATGTAATCATATTATATCACTAGATTTTTATTATATTATACTATATTTTTTATTATATTATATTTCTATATTTCTTATTATTTTATATTTCTTTATTTTTTATTTTATTATATTTTAATATTTTTTTTTATTATATTATATTATTTATTATATTATATTATGTCATAGTACTATAGTGTTTATTATATTATATTACTATACATGTTATCATATTATATCACTAGATTTTTATTATATTATACTATATTTTTTATTATATTATATTTCTATATTTCTTATTATTTTATATTTCTTTATTTTTTATTTTATTATATTTTAATATTTTTTTTTATTATATTATATTATTTATTATATTATATTATGTCATAGTACTATAGTGTTTATTATATTATATTACTATACATGTTATCATATTATATCACTAGATTTTTATTATATTATACTATATTTTTTATTATATTATATTTCTATATTTCTTATTATTTTATATTTCTATATTTTTTATTTTATTATATTTCAATATTTTTTATTATATTATATTGCTATATTTTTTATTATATTTTATTTTTATAGTTTTGAGCTATATTTTTTATATTATATTTCAAATTTTCTTATTATGTTATTTTTAATTTTTTTTATTATAACATATTACTATATTTTTTATTTTATCATATTACAACATTGTTTTTATATTATATTTAAAAATGTACTATATATCTATTCACATCGTATAATAAGTTTATTTGGAAAACATTATAAATTGTTAACATTTATTATTTTATGACCAAATAATTTTTTAGTAAAGTGTTTTCACAGGCTAATTGGTCAATTTTTTTTTATTGTTAAAAATAAAAATTAAGACAAAAACAATTTTAATTATTTTACTATGATTTTTATATAATCTTCAATATATCGGCTTTAGTCGATATGTTTTTTCGTATTAAAATACGAAAAAACATATTAAATATATCCTGGTGGACTTTTTAATCTTCAAGATACATAGGAGATTGAAAAGTCCATTAGTTGGAACTGAAAAGGCACTATAATAAAGCTTTATACAAGTTACAATATATGTTAAATAAAATAAATTCAAAGTTGTATAAATCTTGTTTTACATCAACAATTTGCTAGTAAAAGAAAATTACCATTTTCTAAAACGTGGAGTTATAACACTCCACACTGATGCAGTGTCCTCTTCGAAACCACGGTTGTCGTGCAACATGGTTCTGAATAGACTCTCCCGCTTAACATTTCCCAAACAGATCAACTTCCCCCCGTGTAACAAGAACTGGGGATTAACTATGTCAATTCCTTATGTCTGTCCAAGTCCTTAATTGAGCACTTGTCTTACGAAATAACAAATGAAAATGACAAAAGTTTTAAGCAGGTGGGAAAGGAGTATAGCCCGTTCCGAATTTTGCCTCTTTACTGGCTATGTGCCAGCTTTTATCTAATTTTACTTGGTTAATTAAGAGAAGTAATTCTTTGATGATGAAATTTGCATTTGCTTATACCAAGTATACCAGAGGGTTTAAAGCATTATCTAGTATATAACTAAATATCGAGGTTTGGTGGTCTACTTCCTTGTACTTTTTTTTTACTGTGTCGAAACTAATAAACTGCAGGTGAACCAAAAACAATGGATATTCGTTATAGCCTAATATAATAGGCATTATGTCAAACATTTAGGTTATTATTCTTAGTAACTCAAATGAAAATGCTTCTAGATATGCTTTTGTCAACAAATTTAGAAAAAATTAAAAAATATTGTAGCTGTGAATGTACAAAATTTTTTCAACAAACATTATTTCTTTAAGCCCATATTAATTCTTGGTAAGAAATAAAAAAAATCGATATCTGCAACCTTTACAGCGTGAAATTATTTCCAAGTAATATGTTTGGATGATGCAGTAGGTGGAATCTGTTTTAATGGTAAATGATGTCACGAACAGACTTTCAGGAAGTTTTCCATAAACGAACTGTGACTTTAAAAAGTAAATGTTATTTTACATCATTATACGTAAGCCAATAAAAATTGTAACAACAAAATATGTAATTTGTAAAGTTCGACGATAATTTCTTAATTTGTTCTAAATCACTTAACATTTGTTTTCTTTGCATTTATTTTCTGAAAGTCGTTGTTAGAGACTTCTACGTCTTGACATTGCCAGTAATGCCAGGAAAAAACCACACCAACCGCCAACTTAATGTCACCATCACTTATGTGCGTTGCCAGCTCATAAAATTAATTTTTATGATTCTTTGTGGAACAGAACTTAAGATTTTTTTTTGTTTTTTTTTTTTCATTAATTTATACTCGAATTACAAGAAATGAGTATGTTAACAATATTTAATAAGTGGAAAATAATGGCACGTTTATTCCTGCTCAAATTTGAGAAATCGCGTAATAGTCAAATAACAGTTACAATATTTTTGGGGACATCGTTTCTAGTATATAATATCCAATTAGCACTTAAATGCAAAGTACAGCAATAAGAACTGTTTAAAGTTAATAAGAAAAAAATAATGCTTGATAACCTTCTTATTCTTTCTTAATCAATGAAATCAATATCAATAAATAGTGTGTGCTGGATTCAGTAGTGCAGTAACATCTGTGACTGAATTATGGTAGTTGATATACAGGTGGACTTACAGCCATACACATAGATGCAATATTCTCCTCGAGACCATGGTTATCCTGCAACAATGCTATTAACAGACTCCCGTTAACATTTCTCTGGGAAAACGATGTAGTCAAACGTGTGGTCTATTGTAGTTTAATTTGAAATTAGGATACAACCATGTGCTAAACAGTTAACATACTTGTAACGTCTATTGGTAATATGTCTCCAAACTGCAGTTCAACCAGTTCACTACACACACAAAACTCAGTTCAATCGACACATAGACCGAAACCATTGAAGTAGCCGATTTTCTCCATCTAGACCCACGTTGATTTCGATCCACCTCCAATCCGCTCTTACTCTGTAATCCCTCATCCACTGTCACTCAACTAATACCCATCCAAATCATAACCAATATATAAGTCGTGTGATTCCTTTTGTATTATCTGCTCTTAAAATTCTCTAAATACAATTTACTCTTTGAAATTAGGAAAATCAAAACAACACTGGCCGTTTTTTCGATTCAAATAACACAAACTGTAACCTGTGAGTACTACAATGACCAGAACTTAATGGGTTTTAGCTGAATATCAAAAGCTAAGTAGTTCTTTTCGTTGCACGATGGTGCACTTTTATTCTTGCGTGAGATCTTGACCAAATAGACATCATTCATATAATTTATGTAGCGTATCTTCGTTTTTTGTGCGGTAGGTGAAAAGCATTGAAATCTTCGGTGTGAGATCTCAGCCATCAGACTGTTAAGTACTTCCGGCTAAAATCACATTCGATTAATAAGGGGGTGAAATATAAAAAGTATTTAAAATCTATCGCGTCTATGCAACGTCTGGCTATTAATTCCTCATACTAAAATTTACGATAAACGCAACTAATTTTGATAACATCCAAAACCCCTCGATCCACATACTGAAGGCAATTTTAAATGATGAGTTGTCTGCGCTATAAAGACTATTATGAATAAATCAAAATAATAAACGATTTATATTTTTTTGAACCTAATCTCATCGGTTCTGTTTATAATATATTATATTTAATTTTTAGTTTATACTGACTTTTGACTGCACACAGTAATAGATCATGCTTTACAGTAGTTGAAGAATTTTTAACCCGTGTATCTTTTCATTGTTTAAATATATATCTCAATATCGCATCATTTAATTGAAGGACGATTCTAATATGCTCAGAAACTCAAAAACTTTTTATATATGTATTTGTTTTTGTAAAATTTCTGCATTACAAAGGCGTAAAGTCTGATAATTTGTTCGGAAGTCCGTAAAACAATATCTGATGCTTGTTACTATGACATACCTATTTTACGAAATTTAAATTGAATTTGAAATTTAGTGTTTGAAAAGATTAAAAAATACATATACCATAAAAATTGTGTCATTAAACCCACTATTGCTTGATATTAATTAAGTTTTGACATATGCCGTTGAAAGGTTTGTCACTTTTTAAAAATCATATGGATTTGTCATAGTGACGTCATCTGAATATCATACAATGAACGTTTTGAGTGACTTAAGAGTGGAGCTTCACTCGAGCTGATCAAATATCGTAATATTTGGACAGCTTAAAGCACTACGTAAAAAATATTGTCAAAATCTACTAAACTAAACTGTAAAATTGGCTTCATGTCTACTTAAATAAATTTGACACCAACCAGAAGTGATGCATTAAATAAATATACAGTGATGTATCTAAGTAATTTTTGTAATATTTCGACCTGAACAAAATGTTTTAGTTTGTTAAAGTTGAAATACTTCAGTTTAGTAAAAAAATTTCTAAACGTTTTTATATTACAATTTGTTGTTTCCGTAACCCGGATTTCATGCTTCATGAACTCTACCTGGTTCTCCATATTGACGAATATGACAATCACCTACTTGCCCTTATAGGTCAGTTGGATAGTCGAGTTTTCACTTTTCAAATAAAGTTTATTTACATAGAACTTTTATTAATTCAGCGGGGGGATAGTGTTGGTAGAAAGCGAACACTATTCTTCTATCTCTTATGTTAAATATATATTATTCCGTTTCACCTAGTAAAGTTCATTACAATTTTTTTTTGGCAAAAAAGAATAAGTAGCAACAT